GAGCAGTCTAGCTGCTCTATTTTGAATTAACTAAAGTTTCTGGACCACTTCAGCTCCAGATACACTGCATTCCAATAATCTAGCCAGCAAATCATAAGAATTATTAAGTATTGTGAAATTGTCTCTGCCCAGATAAGTTTGCAGCTGGTAAATCAGCTTAAGTAATGGTGGTGACAAATGTTCCATGCCACAGAATCTATCTGGGCCTTTAATGATGGTGGTGGATCTAGGAGCCTCTTTAAACTGCTCCTTTAGGGCAAGTGGGGACCATTGCAGGACAGCCATCCACAGACACAAAGTATCTATGTGTTATCTATATTAAATCTTTTTTTATTGGCTCTCATGCAATCCTTGATCCTGCCCATGCACTGGTTCAAAACACCAACTAGTTCTCCTGTGTTAGATGAAAGGAAAGGTATGTCTTATGTCATTTGCATATCAATGACATCTCTGCTCACATGCCAAAATGATCTCTCCCAGCTCTTTCATGTAGATGTTAAAAAGCATGGGGGATTAAATGGAGCCCTGAGGGACAACATAATGAAACAGGCTTGAAGCAGAATAGTAATCCTTCAGCACCACCTTCTGGAAACATCCAAATATATACTCTGTGAAAGACATTTGATACCAGCCGAATTGTTTAATGACAGAACAGAAGATTAAATTTACAGATCTCTCCAAGACTAAGGTTAGCTAGGGAGCTACCAGGAAATAAAAGGAAAGTAGGTTGGACTGAGAAATTAAGAAGAATAGCAGAAGGCAGTTTTAAAAATGAATGAGTCTGTGTAATCCCAGGAATCAAGGATATCAAAAAGAAAAAAAATTGCTTTCTTCATGAGATATGACAATATCTACTACAGCAGTGGTTCTCAACCTGTGGGTCGGGACCCCATTTGGGGTCGAACAACCATTTCACGGGGGTCGCCAAACAACACAGTCCGCCATTTTTTCCCCCTTTTCCTTAGCTGTGCTACTCCCTTTTATTCTATTGGCTTTTGAAAGCCAATAGAATAGACTTCTTGAATAGAGTCTAATTCTATTGGCTTTCAAAAGCCAATAGGAATTGTCCAGGCTGTCTCTGCCCTGCTGAGCCTGCTAAAAGTCCCATTCTGCAAACGGTGCTGCACCAGTTGAGTAGTCCTCGACTTACGACCGGTTGGGGGTCGCGACATTAAAAAGGTTGAGAACCACTGTACTACAATTTCTCCTAATCCTTTTGATTCCTGTAGTTCTTTACTATTGTAGTTCAATTTAAACAACTCTTGAATAATATCACATTTTTTAATCTATGTATATTTATATAGATAGAAATTAAGAGTTGTACTGAATTTCAATTTTGCTGAAATTCTTACAGAATGCAGTGTGTTCTGTAACTTCTGTTAGATATAATTAAAATAATTCCTCCAAGTATTCAGCAGAATCCCTCAAATTTTTCAACCAATTTACCTCAGGGATTTCTTCCACCCACTTCCTCTGCGCATCTGCCCTAATTTGCTGTTCTTCCCAATGGTTAGCTTAAAGAAAGAGCAGAAATATGCAAACATTTTCTCCCTAGTGGCCCAAAGGTCAGAAAGTGTATAGCTGGGCAGGCCAGCCACTGGACACCCATCATCAGCTGGGAAATTGCGATAAAAGAGATGGTTCAGTGAACAGTTATAATTGGCTCCATTCAGAGGCCTGCTTGACAAGCTGTGCTAAAGCACAGCAGAGAGTCTTTGTGTGCTAGTTTGGAACTCCTGCTCTGCAGAGCTCAGCTGGTGACCTATGAAGAAATATTTTTTCCTACCATCCGCTGTTAAAATGATCAGCCAAATCTAGTCATTCTGATGCATGAGTGAAGCTTCAAATGAGCAGGCATAAGATTCTTCTTGATCTTAAGGGAAGCTCAAAATACTTGCCTTTTTTGTTTTTGAGAAACCTTCTCAGCATTAAAGGATTTAAAAAAAAAAAAAACCTCCTGATTCTCTAATGTTCCTTTGAACATTCAAGACTCTGGTGCTTTGAGCTATTGTCAATATGGACCCCTCATGATGGAAGCTTAATAAATATTACCTGTTTCTACTACAAAGAAATAGGTGTGCCTGAAATCACATAATTTCCTAGGCTATGAATTCTGGTCTCTGTGAACACCGAACACTGAAAGAAGGATCAGTAGAATCTTTTGGTTGTGAGGAACAACATTTTCTTGATAATATATAAAGCAAAACTTTATAGTCAAGCTTTTGCTGACGGTCTCACCATCACTTCCTCCCTTTCATTTACTTCAGGGATGGGGAACGGTGGCCCTTTTATGACTTGTGGACTTCAACTCCCTGAATTCTTAACTGTCTCGGAAATTCACAGTCCACAAGTCATAAAGGGGCCATAGTTCTCCATCTCTGATTTACGTGAAAATACTGTAATGGCAAATAAAGTCTGGGAACATTGCATTTTTTCCTTGTACATATGCTTCTCTTTGTCCTGAATGCCAGTTTCCAAAATATGCCATTAAATTCTTGTGTCTTTCCAGCAGAAGTCCAAAACTGATTCCAATAATGATGAAGTATTGGAGGAAGAGTGCAGACTTAATGTATATCATTTGGGGGGGGGAAGTGTTAAAGGCATGACTTTGGTTGCCAAGTGTACTGTGATAAACTAATACAGAAATATAATCATCTCACTCTTAGATCATCAAATAAGAAATAATGGAGCAGATTTTTTTTTTTTAAAAAAATACAATCTTTAAAAATATTTTAGACATTTTCAATCCGTGGCCCATGGTCTGCATGCAATTCTGGACAGGTAGTAATGTGGTCCCATAATATATAAAATTATATTAAATATATAAAAATAATATAGAAATATATAAAAAATAAAGGAAGTTTGTTATTTATCTATATTAAATATGTTGTATATTTTATATGCAGTCCAAGACAATTCCTCTTCATTCAGTGTGGCCCAGGAAAGCCAAAAGGTTGGATACTCCATGATTTAAGCTATAGGGCTAATATAGGCTAATATAGGCTAGCTAATCCTGTTGGTGACCTCAGCATGTCCATAGGAGTAATTTCACATAATACTGCCCATATAGTATTACATTTAACCATTGTGTTTCCCTTTAAAACCAGGACAAATGCAACTATGTAATCAGAATAGTTCCAAGACTGAGCACGTTCATGATTCTGTCAACTTTCTGGTCTTTGCATACATAATATTCCTCCACCCACCCAACCTTTAAGTTTAATGCCATAGATCCAGTGGTGGGATTCAGCCAGTTCGCACCACTTTGGCAGAACCGGTAGCTAATTTTTGTTGCCCAGGCCTAGAAAGGACTTCTGGAAGCGGCATCCACACAGAGAACTGGTTGTTCACATATTTGAATTCCACCACTGCATAGATCCATGGATTCCTATAGAAAAGTCACTAGATCAGTGTTTTTCAAATTTGGCCACTTTAAGATGTGTGGATGTAAACTCCCAGCATGCTGTCGAGGGAATTCTAGAAGTTGAAGGTCACACATCTTGAAGTTGCCAATTTTGAAAAACACTGCCCTAGATTATTACTGCAGCTTCTACACTGGAGAGTTACTAAGTAGAGCAGGGTAACCTTGTAGTTGCCATGTCAAGCGACACTTATTTACATTTTGTACAATATCAATAAAATGGATTTTACTGGGGATTTTTTGCTGACCACTAGACAAATGACAACTACAACATCAGTTACTTAATTTTCGTATTTTTTAAAAAAATAGTTTATGGCCTTGGAACTGCTGGAGTTGAACAGCTCTGTTAACAGCTAGTTTGAAGGCAGGAATGGTGAACACTGCTACTTTCTGCACGTTCTAGTGTAAAAAAAAAAGATGTCTCACAGGGAAGCATTCTGAATATTACATAGATTTTTTTAAGGTAAACAGACCTATAGATTTATTTAAAGTGGGCTGCGAATTCTAGTGGAACAGAAGATTAGTAATCTGAAAATATCTCTTTCACTTCTTGTTTGAATAATTTTTGTGGAGTTCTTGGTGCTCTCTGTGCTTGGTTGATTATTTGCAGACATTTCATTACCTGTCTAGGTAAGATCTTCAGCACACTGACGATGCAGTGCAGAGCACTGAAGATGTTACCTAATCAGATAATGAAACATCTGAAAACAAACAATCAAGCTCAGAGAGCATCAAGAATGCCACACTTCAACCCTGACATATATATTATTCTCTTCTATTGGTACTAGATTTTTGTTGTATTTATAAGCAAAGGTCTCTTTAAAGCCACTTTCTTTTTCTCTTCTGGAATGCACATCTAGATGGATTGTTGAAATGAGAGGGAGCGAAAAGTGTTTCATTCACTCCTTTTCCTTAGATTTATTGGCTATCTTATAACTTGTAAGAGTGTTGTAGGAAACACACCAGGAATTTTGCTTGTGTGGCAAGCTTTCAATGAAACAGCTACAAGCATTCTTATATGCCAATTATTTATTTATTTATTTATTATGTATTATATTTATTTATAATATAACAATTTATTATTATATTAAAAGAACTGTGGTGGCGCAGTGGTTAGAATGCAGTATTGCAGGCTAATTCTGCTGACTGCTGGCTGCCAGTAGTTTGGCAGTTCAAGTCTCACCGCCTCAAGGTTGACTCAGCCTTCTATCCTTCCAAGGTCAGAAAAATGAGGACCCAGATTGCTAGGGGCAATATTCTGACTTTATAAACCGCTTAGACAGGTCAGTAAAACACTGTATATAAGTCTAAGTGCAATTGCTATTGCTATTTATTTCTAAGTGAATAAATTAAGAAAAAAAATCCACCACTGCAGTAGACCCAGACAACCATTACAGATTGACCTACCTGTGCCAATTATTATTGCTAGAAATGTATCATTATTTTAAATACAGCATTTGCCATTTTTGTAACAAAATGGGGGGAGGGGCAAAGATAGCATTTGTCTTGTAGAAACAGCCCATTGCCAAGCCTACTAACCATTTTGTTGCACATCTAATATTGTCCCATTTTGTTTAAGCTGGCAGGATTCATCTACGCCTGTTATGTTGTGAAATGTATCACCGAAGAAGAGGACAGCTGTAAGTACTAAAGGTTTATTACGTGCGAGTTGAAATCATTTTTATATCACCCATCTCGCTCATCCATTCCACTCTAATGCCATTCTGAATACTTTGTCATGCTATAAAAGATAGGAATAAGTTAAGATGTAGAAGCTTGCCTAACATATGAGCTCCAAAAAAGCTCCCAAGTGTTTGAAGCCAATGGAGAGAAGGGTAAAATGCAGCTGTACGAAATAATTACTTTGTTCTGAAATGGAGCTGCACAAATTCTCTCCCTCCAAACATTCTTCATTAGTACAGCTTGTTTTGTTTCTCACTATGACTGATAACTACAACCTTACTAATGCTTTATCCTATATGTAAATCTCTTGTAACTGACTATGGGATTTGTGGTGGCATTTGGCAAGGATAGATACAATTTCACGGCAAAAAGATGAAATAGAAGAGAATCTGCTACTATTAAAAAAGGGTGCAGTAATATATATGGCTTTCTCTTGATTTAACACACCTGTGTGAATCATGATGCAGTTCAGAATTCAGAGATAGCAAGGTCTGATTTGGATTTGAGTTCCTAAGGGGCTTCCATTTAATCAATTCAGGATTTGTGATTCAAGTTGATAAAAGATTCAACAAGATATTAATGTGAAAACATAAAAATGCCGACAATTGTTCCTGTTTCTTCTTCTTCTTCTTCTTCTTCTTCTTCTTCTTCTTCTTCTTCTTCTTCTTCTTCTTCTTCTTCTTCTTCTTCTTCTTCTTCTTCTTCTTCTTCTTCTTCTTCTTCTTCTTCTTCTTCTTCTTCTTCTTCTTCAGAATAGGATGGTATGTTCTGGGCTATTTGTACAATAATTTACACAAATTGCTAGCCTTTTGTAAGTCACTGAAAATCAGGGCCCTGATAGTATGGGTGAGCCCAATATAAGATTAATTTGAGTGTTTATGAGTATTCTCTGCTGCTATCCTATGCTTTTCCTGTTTTGTTTAATTTTTTTCAATTCTCTTTGTTCTTATTATTTTTACTCTGATTTAATTATTAGTCTTCCAGAGACATATATATACAAGATGGGTGGTCATGTAAATTTATTAATTAAATGAATAATGCTCTGAAGAGAGTGTTGTCACAATGGTGTATGATATAAAGATTTAGTCTGCATTGTCTACAGTTTTTCAGCAATGGCTATGCAGTCTTAGATTCATTCATGCAATGAAGACTTAATGCAATGCAAGATAGATATAGTGAAGTATCAGAAGGGAGGCAAAAGGATTGTATATTTATTGGGGTAGGTAGAATCAAAGGGAAATGAAAGATGAACCTGAAAGAATTGAAGAATGACAATTTAGATGTAGGACACAAGACTAGGTGGAGTGAGAGATTAAAAAAAGATAAAGGTCAAGGTAAACAGAGATTTGGGGAAAGACAAGAAAAATGTTGTTAAAGAAGAACAGCAGAATAATTGGAAAATCTCCCTCCCCTTCTTTCTTTCCTTCCTTCCTGCTCTCCCTCCCTCCTATGTTCTTAAAGAAATTATGTCAGAAGAGAGAGACACAAACAGCAAGGCAACACACTTCTCAATGCTTTGACAGGTAGGGATTGTGGAGGTAATAAAACTAATGAGGTACTGACTTGTATCAGCCAACCTCTCACACCAGCCAGCTCCCAGTTCCTTTGGTTTTCTCCACCTATGGAAGGAAAGTTTCCACAACCTTTGAGTCTCTGCAAAGCCCGAAAGACCATTGACTCTCTCTGAAATCACTTAAAGACACTACCTTGTTTCTGTACCTTGAATAACCTTGGAGATTTTTGAATAGAATCACCCTTTAAAGCTGCACACAATCCCAATAGTCACCCCTCTTCCTTGGATTCCTTGGGTTTATTATGTCATCATTTGTAACTTCCATTCTACCTTCTGCACTGTACATCAGAGACATGGACAAACATTACAAGTTCAAATATTGTAGAAACACATATTGCTACATACATAAAATATAAATTAGAAGTACACTTTCTCTTAACAATTTACTTGCAGTTTTCTTGTCACATCTGTGCAACCTGACAAAATGTTTCTGAAGGTAGAAATACATATTATGTCTAAGAGATCTAGAAAGCAAAAGTTCTGTGTTTGAGAAATACATTAGCAAGTGTAGGTGAACATTCCAAAAATGTTCACCTACATTTGCTAGCGTACTTCTCAAATTCTGCTACGACATCCTTTTAAGTCCTGGGTGGCGCAATGGTTAGAATGCAGCATTGCAGGCAAACTCTGCCAACTGCCTGAAATTCGATCCTGAAGGGGTTCAGGGTTGACTCCATTTCATCCTTCTGTAATTGGTAAAAATGAGACTCAGATTGTTGGGGGCAATATGCTGACATTGTAAACCACCCAGAGAATGCACAATGGGGTAGTATACAAGTCTAGGGGCTATTGCTATTGCTAGGTTATGTTGAGGACAATATAATAATGTCCACAGTGCAAATAAATAGACTTAAAATGCTATTGGGAGATGGAGAAGGATTAGAATTGACAAGTGACTATTTTTCAGCTCCAGTCTGTGTTGAACATGACATCTACTTCTGCCCTGAAGATAGAAATGTCGTTGTTTTTTAATATTTCAGTAACCATGTGCATAATTTAGCATTCTGGAGTCTCTTAGATTTCACCAGAAGAAGAAAATTAAGTTCTAACTGTGGCTGGATTGGATCTCATCTTATTTGGCAAAAATATTTCCCAGTTTTCTTTCATAAAAGAAAATCCATGAAATCTGGAATCAGGATGCATGAATACTTCAAACCTTTTTCTTCTTTCATAATTGACATATATTCCAGAGTTATTGAATTTATTATTCAGTATAAGTACAGTATAAGATGTTTTAATGATCCAAGAATGTTCCAGTGTGAGCAGAAGATAAATTTATTTTATGCTTTGTTTTTATAGACCTTAGGCATATACTAATTATCACTCTCCATAAGGGATATATTCCAATAAACCATATGATCAAGAAAAAGATTTCCTTAGGTACATGTTCAGTATCCTCATTGGTGCCCTAAGAATGTTGTAAATAGGCCTGGAGCTTAGGATATCTTCATTTCCCTGTAAAATGAACAGCTGTAGCAAGTTTTATTAGCAAGGAGAGATAAAAATCTCTGTTAGGTTGGACACCTGGTAACTTCATGGACATCTCTTTGTATTTTCTTGATATATAAGTGATTTGCATTGCTGCCTTTAGTGGCTCCCCTTCCACAACTTCCTAGTTCAGCCTTCAGAGATGTCTTAATAGCCTGCTATGTGTATCTTAAGATTGAGTATCAGCCACAGTCAGCTAAGAAAAGAAGAAACAAAAATTAGTTATAGTCTCCAATAATATACAGCATCATTTTACATTCTGCATCATACTGTGTAGCAGCTGAATGAAATTATATTTGGAAGGTATTGTAAATTAGACAGATTCATATTCTAAATCAGTAAGTCCCCAATATAGTTAAAATATTCTGGCACTAAAATAATCATTTTATTATTTTAGATAAACTGTCCAGAATATTCTTGGGATCTATTCAGTGAAATCTGGAATTCTTGGAAAAGTTGTTACATATGTCAAGGCATTAAGAATATCAATTAATGGAAGTTTTTAGGACTTCTTCAGGGAAAGTAGATGCGGAAAATGAATTAAGGTGTAAAATAGAATGTAAACCTAAAAATTAAATTCTTTAGAAAAAAAAACTCTATGACACAGGGAGGAAATCTCCCTATCAGTGACCTATTTTTCGGTCACTTATACCATAAACCAATTGTATTATACTGTCACAGTAGCAGTTTAAAGCAACTAAAATGTCAACATTTATCTTTCATGATGGAATATCTTATCCACACATTATAGTTATTTTTGGAACTCTTATTAGAGCTACATTTTCTTAAAATTGCACAGTAATTTTATTACTTTGAAATATTCATTTAATCAGTTTAAACTCTGGTGCAATTTGATTCCTCTAATGCAAGCTTTATGTCAACTTCCCCAACAATTGTTTTTTTTTTTTAAAAAAATCATTAAATATTTAGTTATTTCATAAAAAGCTCTAGAGAATCATCAATCATCAATAAAACACCAGCCTGCTGGAATTTGTAGGTTACACGAAATGAAAAGAACAGACTTTCTGTTTCTAAAACTGCTTTCCCTTTTGGCACTACTATGCCCTAATAAAAAAGGAGTGCTGTAGACACAGTGAATTTTTTAAAAATACAGTCGTGTTATCTAAAATAGCCCTTCCCAACTATATGGCCTTCATATTGTTGTACTGCAATATCCGTAACCCCTATCAAGAATAGCAAAATATTACTTTTTTGTGTGCAGATTGTTGTTTTTTTACTCCTGGTGACCAGTCTTTGCAATTTTCTTGGCCAGAAGAAAATTACAAACCATTTTTTTGGGGGGGGGGGAAGTGGTTTACTCTTGCCTGCTTCTTAGGACTGAGAGAGAATGGCTGGCCCAAGGTCATCCAGCTGGCTTTGTGGCTAAGATAGATGATCTCCGGTTTTCTAACTTGGTGACTTCATCACCACATCTTGAACTTTAATATATTTGGAGATGAAGACATGGTGGAGGCTTGTCTGAAGAATTTTAAAAGAGCTTTTCCTGGTTTCATTTTAGGATAAATGTTGTTTCCCGAAGAGAATTATTTAGATAAAGGGTATTATTTTTAAACAATTTAGTACAGAGCTTTTGTGGTATAATATTTTCTTTTGTGGTTCATATCACTTAGTTTCCACATTTCTTTCTCTTATTCTGTTTATAGGGCAACACAGGAAACTAATTAATGTCACATTAAAGTTAGCAAGCATGATCGGTGTTGTGATGATATCTATTCTCTATATAAATAAACCTGAATTTTTTTGAGGAATACCTAGCTAACATGACTTTGCACATCATCCTAGAAGTAAGTTTCATTAAGTTCAGTGAGCCTTATTTCCAGATTAATGTGTATATAATTTCCATCCCCTGAAAATATATATAGAGCAGCATTTCCT